CCTCAGCAAAATAAATAAATAAAAAATTAAGGAGCTGCTTTGCCCAGCAGATATTCCATTTTTTTTCATTATTCCACATTTAAAAGAGTAAAATTAGAACAGCCTCTTCAGTCACATACATCTTCCAATTAAAATTGACCCTTGGGGATGTGACATTGAACACAAGCTGCGGAGGGGAAAAAAAATCTAATTAAATTTGAAGAAGGAAATATACAAAAAAAAAAAAAAGTTGAAGAACCAGAATTACACTTTTTGTTGCCAGGTTAAACTTTCCTTACTTAACTCTGTTTGTACAACTTTTTTCTACTTGTCAACATAAAAGAGAAGCATTTATTTATTTATTAAACCCGCACATGCGTCAGGAAAATATTTAGAGTTGGTTCAAAGCAAACAATAAGAAAAATGTCAACGAGAACTTTTTTTTTTTTTTTAAGCAATCCAGTATCTTTGGACTTCTAAGAATAGTTGTTAATTTAAGAGGAAGATAGCCTAAGCTTCTGTGAATATTTGGCTTGTCCAAACAAGAAGGAAACAGGTTGTGAGAACAAGGAAGGAAATATGTGTCCACCTTCAGTGTTTCCAGCAGTTGCTCCTTGGCATCTGAAGACAGGAAAGACGTGACGAAGCTCTCCCTTTCCGGCTGAGAATCTTAGATCAATGTGCATGAAGTCTATAGCAATTGTCTTGAAACATAATGGTTGGATACTAATGATAAAAAGAAAGAAGAGAAAGAAAGAGAGACAGAAACAGAGGAGGAGGAGGAGGAAGAGGAGGAGGAGGAGGTGGAGGAGGAGGAGGCCTACAGAAGAGTGGATTTTACAAATCTTTGGAGGTAGAGGCTTTAAGAGTATAGTGTCTATTGTAGAGAAACCCTATTTATCTCATCCATGCCCTACTAACTTCAGGTCAAGGAAGAAGAAGATTCTTCACAGGTCTTCTTGGGAGGTTCTCCCTAAATGGATAGATTTGAATCCACCAACATATGATCTGATTTAATTGAGAATGGCTACCCTGTGTAAAGCTTGGTATTCAGTGCATCAACTTCTCAAGGAGTGTTAAACTGCAGTGGAACTCATCAATAATCTAGCCGCCCTGTTGTGGACCAGTTTCAGCATCTAAGTCATCACCAAAGGAAGCCCCAAGTAGAGCACATTGCAGTAATCCTATCAAGTCATTGATTACCAATGTCTTCATCCAGGTTGATTCATAACTCAAAACCAGCAAAATCTGGCCAAGACACCCCCAGGATACAACCTCCACTTGCTGTTCAAGCAGTAACTGTGATCCCTGCTGTGGCTTCAGAAGAAGCAGAATCCCAGCTAAGATGGCCATCACTGTGTGATTCCCTTGTGCTGAACAGAAAGAGGGTAACACAGCAAGGTCTCTTCTAAGACAGTGACTCCATCTTCACCAATTTTGGACCAACATACATTGAAAAATAATTAATTGATTAATTTGGGGGGACTTTTAATTATTTAAAGGGAGCCTAATTAGTTAAGGATGTGATGTTTGCCAATTTAATTTGATTCCATCTGACAACGTTAATCTTTTCTTGAATAATAAGGGGGATAGTGATAATAACCATAGTTTTATTCATCTATTGCCCTTCCTTGTAAAAAAATCCCAAGGTGATGAAGAAAGAAATTAAAATAAAACATTACTGAATAGCAATTAAAAGCATCCTATAAAACGTGATCCACTTGCACGAACCAAGGAACTAAGGAACAATAATCCAATAGATAAACAGAATAATGGTGAAGAAGGAGAATTGGTCATACTTAGGAAAGAAAATATAAGTCCCTGGAACCACTGGTGCAATTTTTAGAAGATAGAAGATAGAATCATAGGGCTGGAAGGGACCTCAAAGGTCTTCTAGTCCAACCCCCTACTCAAGGCAGGAACCTTATACTATCCTGGTCAAATGATTAATCAGTCTATTTTTGAAAACCTCCAGTGATGGAGCACTATTCCACTGATGAATTTTTCTTACTATCAGAAAATTTCTCCTTAGTTCTAGGATCTCTCTTTAACAAACTTGCGCCCTCTACTTCTTGTCTGGCCAACATGCCTATTTAGAAGCAAGATTGAGATCAAGGTTTACATGTAGAAGGAAAGTCCATAGAGCATTAGCAAAGATATGTTGTTGTTGTTGTTGTTAATTGCGAAGTCGTGTCCGACCTATCATGACCCCATGGACCACATTCCTCCAGGCCTTCCTGTCCTCTACCATCTTCTGGAATCCATTTAAGTTCACGCCTCCTGCTTCAGTGACTCCATCCAGCCACCTCGTTCTCTGTCATCCCCTTCTTCTCTTGCCCTCAGTCTTTCCCAAGCAAAGGTATATGGTAGTCTTAATCATGATGACCCAACACTCAATTAAAGTCCTTCCTGTGTTTCGAGGGCAACCTTCCAGGTACAGTAATAAGAAGGGTAAAAAAAATGCCTCTGGGGTTGTCCATTGCCCATTGCCATTTTCCAGCAGAAATATGAAGTCTAATTTCTGCAAAAAGCCTATCCATTTTTGCAGCTGTACATGTTTAATGCAAGCGCTGAAGCACAGGTCCTTTGAACTGCTATTGCCATAACCTCCGCATGCTAATTAGAAAGCATCTACATTTATCTCCCTTCTGCCAGCCCGTAGCTCCCTCTCGTGGCTAATTAAACCAAGCCTCTCCTCTCCCCGGGTCTTCCTTCTCTGTAATGATCAACACCGTCATTCATGGCTTCCAGCAGTAGGTGCGAAGTCACTAACACCAGCTTGGATGGGCAGAGTGAACTCTTGACTCTTTGCTTTGGATGAGAAGCACGTTCGGTGAGCAAGTTAATTTGTCATGCAGGTTTCACTCCAAACCTGCATCAAGAAGGATGGTTAATTTGTTTTGCAGGTGTTGAAGGGGAAAAGAAAAAATTGGCAAGGAGCAAAATTGCTCTAGCAGGAAAAGAGAGCAAACGAGGAGATATTTTTTGCTGGGTTTGAAAAGGGCCGTCAGTAAAATCTGCTTTCTTTGTATGCCAAAACTTGGCTTGTGCGTAGTTTTGTTGCGGTGCTTGTCCTATGAACCTCGCAGGGGCCTCTTGTCTTGGAGAATTGCCCAATATAGGTTGACCAATTTGTACAGAGCTTCAGTCACTGAATTTAGAGAGGATTCGTAGACCATGGATTCCAATAGGGTAGAAGCAACATGTGAAGTAGAAACTGGCTAACAACTAGAAGGTAGAGGGTTCTTATCAGTGTCCTAGCTGTAGATGATAGATTATTGTAGACAGAGAAAGGTAAAGGTTTCCCCTGTCTAGTCATATCCAACTCTAGGGGAGCGGTGCTCATCTCCATTTCTTAACCAAAGGAGCCTGTGTTGTCTGAAGACATTTCTCTGGCCATGTGGCCAGCATGACTATATGCCGAGATGCACAGAATGCTGTTACTTTCCCACCAAAGTGGTACTTATTTATCTACTTGCATTTGCATGCTTTCCAACCTCTAGGTGGGCAAGAGCTGAGGCAAGAAATGGAGCTCACCCGTTGTGCTTTGCTGGAATCTCGAACCTGGGCTGTTAACTTTCCAGCCAACAAGCCCAACGTCTTAATTATTGAGTCATCACTCCCCTCTTGTAAACAGAACCACTGAACAGAGATTTATAAAAGTATAAGTGTCCTTGGGAGAATTACCAGGAGTGTGCAAATCAGCTCTGCCATGATTCAAACTCTCCACTCATTTCAGAATTTCAATTCAATCTGAGAGTTTGAGCTGATTCATTAAACTCATTCCTCAAACTGGTCTGATTCACTGGAGATTTTTAATTCAGTTTGGAAAGGGGGGAAAGAGTCTTGCATATAATCCAAAGTACTTGAATTAGTTTAAAGGCATCTAATTTGATTTGACAATTCAGTTCAACTTCCTGATTCAGTCTGGAAACTCTGTTCAGTTCAGAATTTCTGGCAAATTGCCTTTGAACTGAATCCCTGAAAGGCAATTCTCGCTTGTGACAGGTAAATAAAATGTAGGAAAAATGATTTATACGTATAATGAGACACAGACATTACATAGATTAATTGCTTAACATTTTCTGTCTGATAAGAAACCTTAGTCTCAGTTTAATCCTTGTGAAACTGTGTTAAGCCTCTTAATATATTGCTTCTCTGCTATTTCATGATGTAATTCCTTCTTTTGCAGATAACTATGTTGAAATCATGTTAGTACTGAATTTCTATTTATACTTAACAGGGTAGAGTTGTGGGGATGAGAGAGGGGTGGGAGGAAAAGCATGCAGGTTGCTAAGAACCTGGGAGAAAGGTAGGAAGTAATTTTTATAATTATATCCTCAAACGATGAATGAGTTCAAGAAAAAAGATGGCACATTTCAAAAATCTGCAGCCCTGCTTCATTTTAACAGTATACTTTTAAAAATGAAGGACTTTTATTTCACAGCTGTGAGCTAAGGAACTGTAGTTTGTTGAGATATTAAGAAGTGAAGATAGCCCTCGACTTCATTTAGTGGCCGTTTGAAGTGGCAACAGCATTGAAAAAAGTGAATTATGATGACCATTTTTCATGCTTGCAACCATTGCAGCATTCCTGTGGTCACGTGATCAAAATTTGGACTCATATTTATGACGGTTGCAGTGTCCCGGGTTTTTGTGATCCCCTTTTGGGACCTTCTGACAAGCGAAGTTAATGGGGGAAGCCAGATTCACTTAACAACCATGTGACTATCTTAACGACTGAAGGGATTCCCTTAACAACCGCGTTAAGAAAGGTTGTAAAAAGGGGGCAAAACTCTCTTAACAATGGAAATTTTGAGCTCAACTGTGGTTGTAAATCAAGGACTATCTGTACTGGTGATTGAACAGCCACCAATTGTTCAAAGTGACAACAATGCTAACAAGGGGGAATTTAATACAGGTCTTTATAATTGTGATCATCGCAACATCCCTGGGGTCCCGTGATTGTGATTCTCATGCTTGGCTTGCAATTACAATTATTTTGTCGTCCCCTTTCACAGGTGATAGACATTGACCGGCCCGAGAATTCAAAGTTCCGAATTTTGGGGAAAGGAGTAGAACAGGAGCCAAAGGGAGTTTTCAAAATCATTGAGGCCACGGGAGAACTCTTCGTAACACAACAACTTGACAGAGAAGCCATTGCTACATACGAGGTGAGTAATCCTGGTTTGTGTTTATTTGATTGATTGATTGATTGATCAAATTTATAGATGTCTCTCTCTCTCTCTCTCTCTCTCTCTCTCTCTCTCTCTCTCTCTCTCTCCTTCCAGTCTTTTTTGTTGCATTAATGAGCCATCTGTGTTACCATGGTAACCCTGATACCCTGGTTTTCCAATATACTGGTCTATTGTAACATGTTGGACAAAGTTGAGATAGGAAATACATACTATTGAATGCGATCAGGACTAAACTCAGCAAATCTCAGATCCCTTTTCTTCTCTTGACACCTGTCAAGTTTTGGAATTGAGTTGTGACTTCTACCAGCTCAAGGGTGGCTTGGGTGAAGTGTAGACTCTTTGTGAAAGTCTACCCTGCAGAAATAGGTGGGACCAAGGCAGTTTTCAGAATGGGGTTCACAGTTCAGAGGGATGAATTAAATATCTGAAGCATCTTATTCAAGATTCTCGGAATGCAGTGAAAGGGTACAAGGTCTTGGTCTCAGCCCTGATAGAAGGCTCTGCTTGTGTTCTTCTGTGCTTCTGGTCTGTGAATGTGGAAGAATCTAATGCTTGGGGAAACAGGATGAGAATAAAAATGGTGTTGCAGTAACAAAACTCATTTTAATGTTGGCTCTGGACCCACCCGCCTTTTTTTCAGATTTACCATTAGCAGATTCAGAAGAAATCAATTACACAGGGAGGACATATGCAATGGTTATGGATTGTTGTATTGGGCAGGGGTGTTGGATTAGATCAGTATTTTTCAAACTTGGAAACTTTAAGATGTATGGACTTCAATTCCCAGAATTCCCCAGCCAGGGAGTTGTCCAATGGGGACAATGAGGAAGTAATTTTTGTTGATTTGAAATATTGCCATTAGATAATCTGGATCGAAGCAAAAGTAGAAGAATCTACTTCACTTACATCTAATATGAATCGAAATTTGCAAACAACAAATAACTGCCACTAGATTAATTCCTAAAAAGCCATGACATTGACACAGATTAGATTTACCAAGGAGAGAAATAACCTAGAACTAAGGAGAAATTTCATAACAGTGAGAACAATTAATCAGTGGAACAACCTGCCTTCAGAAGTTGTAGGTGCTCCATCAATGAAAGCTTTCAAAGAGAGACTGGACAGCCATTTGTCTGAAACGATATAGGGTCTCCTGCTTGAGCAGATGGTTGGACTTGAAGACCTCTAAGGTCCCTTCCAACTCTATTATTCTATGTTCTATGTTCTACCGTAATCGATATAGCATGAGGTGAATGGCTACCTAACTTTTATTTAACTAGAGAAAAGAAAATAACAGGTTTTGGCATTTCTTATTCCCAATTCTGTCTCTGCAGCCTCTGCTGCTTTCGTGAGGCAGCAACTACTACACAGCAACAGCCCTTTCTCATACTAAATCAAAGCATTTGCTTTTCTTCCTTCCAGCTTTGCAAACCACATTTAAAAAAAGGCACCATGTTAGATGAAGCAGAAAATAAATGCAAATGCATGTTGTCATTGCTGCACATTCTTTCTGTGTGGTCCGTCATATAATTCTGCGCACAGCAGGTTGGTTGGAGTCCCATTGAGAAAAACACAATCACAAAGTTCAGCACAAAGAGAACACACAACTTGATTAGTCAGGTTTTTTGGGAAAAACTGGGAGCTGCAATCCCTGGAGATTTTCCTGTTTTCTGGTTTCAAATACTGACTGACCCATGGTTGCTCTGATAGTTCATAGTTTATTCATGGTCAGAGAAATAACGGTCAATGCATGTAAAGGCAAATAGAGTTTCTGACAGACATTTGCCTGTCTGCTTTGTTTTAACAGGAACACACAAGAAAAATAGTCCAAAATCAGTCCAAGGTTCCAAAAGCTGGGTCATGGTTGTTCGACAGTCCAGAATTTCCTGAGCATGATCCACACAAATGTCATGCAAGAGCTGGAGATCAATCCAAAACCTTTAGAACATTTTTGTTCTGATCTCCTCTCTACTTGCCAGATATGGGGTTTGGGAGACCTTACACCATTCTCATTTGACAACTCCAGTTGCTTAGGTGCTGCTGCTGTTTGATCAGCCTCACATAATTCTTGGCTTTGTGGCTTCTGAGGCTGACATTCCACAGATCCTGCTGAAGCAACTTCTCCATATTCACAGGCAAGAGTCGCAGATTCTTTGTGGAAAGGTATAACTATTTTCTGAATTGTCAGGTACATGAAATCGAAAACTGATACTAGGCAGAAGTGGAAATGATAAATGTGCCATGTAGTTCCACTTAAACTCTACTAACTGAAAAGATGAACCCAACTTTTTCAAAAAATAACCACAGTGCAGGAATATTGGTAGGACTATTCTTTCCTCTCTGTAAGTTTCACTGGCGTAATGATCTGGAGCAAGGAGCCATTAATCTAAGTGAATGGAAAAGCTGAAAGCCCTTCTGAATAGGGAATGCCATCAGTTTCTGTGTGGCAGTACCCACTCTTGAACAGGACCATGACTCTTGTCCAAGAACCCACTAGTAGTTTCTAAGAGGGTGATTTGATCATTGCTAACGTGGCACAAATGTCCCTTGTGTTGATCATTGATTAGATGTGCATTTATTTTGGTCAACATAGAAGAAGGCGAGCCTGGGGGTGGAGTCAAGAGAGTAATCAGCTTGGAGCCATTACATTCCCACAAATGGTCTAAGTGCAATCCCTCTTGAATTCGGTTGACTCTTATCTAGCACTAGTGTAGTGCTGAATGTCAGTTGACTTAGATAGATTCTTGTGTATAGGCATGAGCAATAAATCAGCTTAAGCGGAACGTAACACATGCTCCTGGTTCTTCATGCCTGACAGTCCATCGAGAAATCTAATTCATAATGATACTTCAATCTCAAAAAATAAAATAAGTACAAGAGAAGTCCCTCTGGTTTAACACATGTTTTAAAACAAAATCCAACACTTTGATCAGCTGCTTTGATGGAGAAAAAATGCATTCTGTGTGTGTGAATGAATGCACATTAGGAAACAGATCGATGTGGTATGGTCAGTCCCACTGACATCTCATCTGTGGCACCAATTCAGTTCAGTGCTTCATTTAAAGGTGGCTTCTTTGATCCATGTTCCATCCAGCCCAGAGGCCCTTTTAAAGCTCTGCATAGCTCTATTATTTATGAACTCATATTTATGAAGATATGAACCTTGCTCAAGGCAAGCTATTGCTGTACCTTGTCCATTATAATTGGAAGAAATTCCTTTGCCTCTTAGAGAGAAAGTAGAGCATCTTTCTAATTGAAAGTGGTGGTGATATTTACCACCCAAGTTTTAGTGAATATAACATAAGAGTGAGTTAGCACCATCCTATTATTCCGTATTTATTATACTACTCTGCGTGTACTCTTAAGCTGAAGGAGAAAAAAAAAGATAAACTCACAACAAAGGTCATTGCAATTTAAAAATAACACAGGGAAGAAACTCCTATTAATTAAGAGAATTAATCTCTTTCTTTTCTGCTAGATGACATGGATTTTCATACATTTGGTAATTTATGAATTACCCTGCTCATCTTGGTAAACAACCTGAAAATTTATTCCATAAATGGTAATAATAAATTCAACTGTATGGATGGGAGGTATTAATACATTAAGCACCTGGCATTTGTGACAGATAATTTATAGTTAACTATCAGGTTCCAAAGTCATTTCATTTCTTAAAATTGAAAATATCTTTTCGCTTCACAGAGGATGCTTAGCTAAATTCAGAGTCGACAAAACCCCTTGATTACTGCTAAGTATTTTTTTTTTTGGCACTGTAATGTGAAAAATATGGAAAACTAAAGCCATTTTAAGAAGAGCCATTATTCTCAGTAGATACTGAAAGAGAAATCTGGTTCTAAGGAGTTAATTCATTTTCTATTTGGACTGGAATGAATGAAAGGCTCAGGTAGAAAGAGATGAAATGTTACATGATTCCAGAAATAAGATTCCTTGTTTACCCAGAAATACAGTCCTTTTGTGACACATCAGTGGTGCTTCTAATCTAGCTGTAAGGACCCACCCCACTTTACATCTTAAGAAGACAGAACTCTTGGAATATCTCTTCCAACAGGAATCTTTATTAAGAGAAGATGGTTGCAGGCGTTCTATACAGGATCTGAGGGGCCAACCCCTACCAATCAATGTTTTAAGTGTTCCCAAGCAGCCCCCACCCCACCGTCCTTCCAGCGACAATCCCAGGCATTACATTTCCACCCCCTTTTCCTCTCGGCCAGCAGAAGGGAGACTTCAGAGAGTAGTAGATAAAAGCTGATGGGCCATATTGTTATGGTCAGTCCTCTTGATGAGATCCACATTCAGTCCCTTTGAAGTTTTAATGAAGGAAGTGAGAGCCATAAAACCCCTTTGCTCATCCCCCTTCCCCTTCGTAGTATGACAGAATCCAGAGAGGGCAGAAATGGGGTTTTCCATAGTCGATAACTAGAAATGAAATATAATTGGATTCTGACATCAGCATCTAATCCCGTGCAGTGGACTACCCGACCAAGAAGCTCACAAAGCAGGGTTGAAGACAACTGTTCTGTATTTTTCCTTCCCCCAAAATCAGCACTTCCTGCTCTTAAGCATCGAGGCTCTGTTATGCAAGCCCTTAAAAGTTAAACTTTTAAAAAAGTAAGATCACACTTGGAATACTGCGTCCAGTTTTGGTCACCCCATTGCAAAAAATGAAATTTTGGGAAAAGAGCAGAGAAAGACAACTAAAATGATGAAGGGTCTGGAGACTAAAACATATGAAGAACGACTACAGGATATAGTTAGTCTATAGAAAAGAGGTGATAGTATTCCAGTATTTGAGGGGCTGCCACAAAGAAGAGGGGGTCAACTTATTTTCTATAGCACTGAAAGGCAGGACGAGAAGCAATGGATGGAAACTAATCAAGGAGAGAAGCAACCTGGAACTAAGGGGAAACTTCCTGACAGTTAGAACAATTAATCAGTGGAACAACCTGCCTCCAGAA